CAAACCTGCACCTGCTCCCGGAGGTCATGGACGGGCAAATCCCCAGCTGGGGGCCCTGGGTCCTCTCCCGGGTCTGAAGGACACCTCCCTCAACAGGGACCCCGCTGCGATCCCGACCAGCCGGGATGGCCTCTCCCCTGCCCCCACCCAGCCCAGCCCAGCCTCACATTTTGCTCCTCCGGGAGCAGGAGGGCCAGGGGGTCCTGGGCCTGCAGGGCAGCGAGCAGCCCGAGGGCAACGGTCAGGGCCAGGGCCTTCATGTCCAGGGCTCCACGCTCACGGGCGGCAGACACGGGTTGGGTGGCGGGTGGTGCCGACTCTCCTCACAGCGCCCTTTTATCCCCCTCGCCTGCTGTCATCTTGCCAATCTGCCCAAACGCCCAGACCCAGACCACGCCCAAGGGGCAGGTGCAGCATTGTTGTTGTTGGGATTCGATGAACACCAAGAAATGCCACCCAGAGAATAAAGACACAGGAGCCACCCCATGCTGGCACCGCCAAGGGCGCTGGACCCAGCCATCAGGGACCCGGAAGCACCTGGCCCCACGCACAGCCATGGGGCCGAGCCTTCCGGACCCTGAGGCTGGAACCAGTTCTGTGTGGGGCCACGTGCCCCTGGTCCCCCTCACTGGCCCCTCTCCGCCCCGCTGCCGGGCCTCAGTGTCCTGAGGTCCAAGGGGCACCTGTAATACAGCTCAGGGTGGGACGAGTTCACTTCAGGTCACGTGGGGCCATGTGACCCCCAGTCTGCTCCGGCCACTCAGACCAGCAGGGTTGCCTAGGGCCTGGCCCTTGCCTGGCTGTTTGCTTGGCTGCCCCATCTGTGCCCACCCACCATGCAGGACGTCACTCCTAGGGCACAGAGGCCAACCCCACAGTCCCCACAGACCACAGCAAGGCTTGCTGGTCAGGACCCTCTGTGTCCCTAGGCCCCCAAGCACCCCAGAACACCACAGCCGCTCCTGCTCCCCGCGGGGCGAGGCCCAGGGACCCCCACAGCCGCTCCTGCTCCCCGCGGCGCGAGGCCCAGGGAGTATCCGTGACCTCCTCCTTCCCACCTGGTCAGGACCTGGGGTAGTACCATGGCCATCTCTGGACCCCCAGGTGCCCCCCAAGGCCTTCCTCTGCAGTAAGGGCTGGGACCCCATGGCTCTGACCATCTTTCCAGTCCCAGGACGGGCGTGCCTCCTGCCACAGTGGACTAGGGGACTGTGGAAGGCTGCATCCTTGTCCAGCACCCCAGGACCTGGTCTGCCCCCCAGAAAGAACACTGCCTTCTTCCAGCCCAACGGGCATCTGAGGGCACCCCTCAGGACCCGGGCACCTGGGGGAGGGACTGGGGGCTGCAGGGGTGACTGGAGGGAAAAGGAAGGGGAGGGGAGGAGAGGGAGGGCAGGGGAGGGGAGAGCAGCTTGCTCAGGGCGGGTCCCGTGGCCTTTCAGGACCAAGCTTGGCTCACTGTCCCCCGGCCCTCAGTTCCCACTGACGTCACACACAGGCGGCTTGCTGTCCCCCGGCCCTCAATTCCCACTGACGTCACACACGGGCGGCTCGCTGTCCCCCGGCCCTCAGTTCCCACTGACGTCACACACGGGCGGCTCGCTGTCCCCCGGCCCTCAGTTCCCACTGACGTCACACACGGGCGGCTCGCTGTCCCCCGGCCCTCAGTTCCCACTGACGTCACGGGCGGCTTGCTGTCCCCCGGCCCTCAGTTCCCACTGACGTCACACACGGGCGGCTCACTGTCCCCCGGCCTCAGTTCCCACTGACGTCACACACGGGCAACAGGAACTCCAGGTCCGCTGCCTCTCCATCTGCATCCTACCCACCACCAGTGCCCTGTGGGTGTGCCTACCCGTGTCCTGTGCTCTAAGGACATCCCCATGGACACCTGTGGACGCCCACCTGTGTCCCCGTGTCCTATAAGACAGAACGGGGCTCTGAGCCACAGCCTGGGTCAGCTAGGGGCCAGCCATGGTGCGGAGTGGTGGAGGGAGAGAGGCATACGTTACCCAGTGCACAATGACCATGTGTGTAAATGCATCATACGTGTGCTTTCATGTGCATATATGTACAGGGAGCATGTTCATGCAATCGTGTGTGTATGCATGTCTGTACTTGTGTGTACACGTACCGTGTGTGCAGGTGTACATGTGTGTATAGGTTCTGCGGGTGTGTGGAGTGCACGTGTGTGGGTGTGGGGTACATGCATGTGGGTGTGGAGTACGCGTGTGGTATATGTGTGTGGGTGTGGAGTACGTGTGTGGTACACGTGTGTGGGTGTGGAGTACGTGTGTGAAGTACATGTGTGTTGGTGTGGAGTACACATGTGTGGAGTACACATGTGTGGGTGTGGGTACGTGTGTGGTACACATGTGTGGGTGTGGAGTGCACGTGTGTGGAGTACATGTGTGTCGGTGTGGAGTACACATGTGTGGAGTACACGTGTGTGGGTGTGGGGTACGTGTGTGGGCGTGGGGTACACGTGTCGGTGCAGAGTGCACGTGTATGGATGTGTGTTGTAACCCTCCGCTTTGTGCCGACCACTGCTTGTAGCCGCAGTGAGAGCCCCAGGCCCTGCCCCCCGCGAGTTCATGCCCAGACCAGGGATGCCAGGCACAGCGAGCACACTGGCAGCGGTCGGTCACGTGACCAGCTTGGCTGCCTGGCCGGCGCTCTACGACAGGGAGGACCCCTGCTCCAGCTCAGTGCCACGTCTCCCCTTGCTTTGCTGCGCAGGCCAACTGGGTGTGCACACGGAGGGGACGTAGGACGCTCCAAGGGGCTTGCAGATGGCGCCCCCACCCACACTGTGGGCAGTTATACAAGTGCATCATGGGAGACTGGCAGGTGCCAGCACTGCTAACCTGCCCTCGACGAGGAGGGGGTCCCACCCTGCTGGCCTCTGCCCAGCCATAGGCAGGACCGGTCTGGGCCAACCAAGGTGTCCACCCGGCCCGGTGAGGGGCTGAGCCCCGCCCACAGGCTCCCTGCACCCCCATTGTCCATTGTTCCCACTCTCGCATCCTGGTTGACTCCTGTAATTACCGATCACGGCCCAGCGGCCGAGTGCTCGCTAGAAGCCAAGTGCACAGGTGGGCCAGGGCAGCGATGACAAGGGCACATTTGTGCCGTGGGGGCCAGGCTCGCCAAGGTGGCACTGGGACAGAGAACTGAGGGGGAGGAGGAGCGGGCCAGGTAGGTGGATGGCAGGGCACGGATAGGGCCCAGTGCCGCCCACCCACCTGGGGCAGACACGGCAGCCGGACCGCGTTGAGGTCAGAGTGGCTGGGCCGTGAGCCCCAGCGAGATGTGCTGCACAGCTCAGCAACTGGGGGCTTCAGTGCCCACAGTGCATGGCAGCCACACTGCAAGCACGCTGCCAAGCCGGATCCAGGATGCCTGGGACAACCGGGTGGAGCAGGCGGGGACCGGGCTGCGAGCACCCAATTTGGGAAAGACCTCTGGAGGGGCAGGGGTCGGGGGCGCCAGAGACATCAGCTTTGCAGGAAATAAGCTTGCACTCACAACCTGGGGGTGTCAAGGCCCAGAGCAGAACCCCAGAAGCACAGCGGACACGCAGGTCCCAAGGGGAGGCCCCCATCTGGAGACTGGGCCAGCCTGGCCCTGCCAGCACCTCGCTGGATGCACAGGGCCCGACCACCACTGCCCCCTGGTAGCCACCGCCAGCCCTGCAGTCCAGATAGAAAACCCAGAACCCACACCCTGGTTTGGGGCATCCTGTCAGGGGGTCCCCAAAATTCCCCACTGTGGCAGCTGGGAGCAGGGTTTGGTCTGAGGACCGAGGCTGTATCCCCCAGAGGACCGGCCTGCATCCCTGCTTGTCAGTGGCCAAGCTGGGCTGGCCCCAGTGGCCGGGACAGGAACTGTGTGGCTGTGCACAGATGGGTGCGAGTTAGGCCTAGCCGGGCACAGCCAGCCAGGGCTGCTTCCAGACTGGCACTGGGGGGCCAGCCTGCTGCCAGCAGGGTCACTTTCATGTCCTGCGCCCGAGGGAGGCAGTGTTGACCCCTGCACCTGCTCACTGGTGGCTGCCAGGAGACGTCCAGTGGCCGCCTCGGAAAGGGCGGACCCAGGAGAGGCCTGGAGAGCCTTGGGACACGGATGAGCGCTGCATGTGGCCCGAGGAAAAACTCATTCCTCTGCAAGGACGGAGGGGGCTCTCCCGCCTGCTGGATCACTCCCCAGACGGCCAGCACAGCCAGCACGTGGCCGGGTTGAAGCCAGGAGCCAGGAGCTTCTTCAAGGTCTCCCTCACGAGTTCAGGGCCCCAGACCCGGGCCACCCTCCGTCACCTTCACAGGAGCTGCAGCACAGGGACGAGACTGGGCAAGCAGGAGGATCACACAGGAGCATGGACTGGGCAAGCAGGAGGACCACACAGGAGCACGGACTGGGCAAGCAGGAGGATCACGCAGGAGCACGGACTGGGCAAGCAGGAGGACCACACAGGAGCACGGACTGGGCAAGCAGGAGGACCCATGCAGGAGCACAGACTGGGCAAGCAGGAGGACCACACAGGAGCACGGAGAGCAGTGAGCCGGCGGGAACACGGCTCAGAGGGAGCAGGCCCCCACACGCCGCATGATACCACAGCTGCTGCACGCCAGTGCCACACACACTCCACACAATACACAGAGCACACACACCCCGTATGATACACACCTCACACCCCCCCCACACACACACCCAAAACATCACATACACACACAGTGCACACACACCACTCACCACACTCGGTACACAGCACAGCTCCACGCACACAGCCCGCCCCACGCATGCCGCAGGAATGAACCCGAGCCACATTGCTGAACTCGCCATGCAGCCTGGCGCGACTCTTGGCAGGAGGGCTCCTGGGCAGGCCCGACCCCGTGGGCCCGCCAGCACGAGCCTGTCCCGGGACTGGAGGACAGGGCTACGGCACACGCGTGTGACACGTGTGTTCATCTTCTTCTGGATGGCCGGGTAGTATGGCCTTGAGCGGGGACAGGACGCGCTGGCCCTGGCCTCCTGGCCCCTCGCCGCCCCTCACGGGTTCCGGATGGCCTGGTGATTCTTGGGCACAGCCACAAACCTCAGCTTCTTCATGACCGGCGGCCAGCCCAGCAGCCATTCGTCCCACAGGTACTCGGGCGACAGCACCTTGGTGGGCTTGTGGTAGAGCAGGTACTTGTTCAGGTGGCTCTCGTCATGCCACACGGCCTCGATGCCGTTGGCCTTGTCCAGCAGCATGGCCTGGTGGCAGGCGCTGGCCAGCCGCTGCACCTCGGCCACCGAGCCCCCAAACAAGGCTCCCATGTAGTAGAAGTCACCCTGGCCGTGAGGGATGTAGGCCTGGGACTGCGGCCGCCGCTCGTAGCTGAAGGCCTCGCGGTTTGTATTGTAGAAGCCGGGGTGCAGGGTGCCGAAGAGCGGGGTCAGGATCTCCACGCCCACGTGGTCCCGGAACTTCATGTCCACGTCGGCACACACCAGGTAGTCCACCTCGTGGCGGAAGCGCTGCTCCGAGAAGCGGGCGATGGCCTCCATGCGGTGCATGGACACGTCCTGCCAGCGTGCGTGGCTCGGCACCTCCAGCACCACCAGGCGCCGGCCCTCCCCGAGCGGCACATCGGGCACGTCGGCCGGCCGATCGGTGAGGACGTAGTAGATGACACGGTGGCCCGCCATGAAGTGCTGCTCTGCCGTCTCCAGGAACAGCTTCAGGAAGACCACGTATCTGCAAGGGGCGACGGCAAGACCGTAGCCTCGGTCAGCGTCCAGCCCAGAGCCCAGGGCAGGGTCATGGGGCCTCCGAGGGCTGCAGCCTTGGTCAGCACCCACCGAGGAGCCTAGGGCAGCTGGTCCTGCAGGGACACAGGGCCTCCAGAGGCTAAAAGCGGCAGGCACTGGTACACTGTCCTATGGGGTCTTGGGCGCATCCGTGGCTGTGTCCACTCAACCCCATGTCCCAGACGAGGCTGGGCATCAAGCTGAGGGCACAGCAGGTGGACACCCTGCAGCCCAGGGGAGGGGCAGGGCTGGGCCTCGCACCCCGTCCACCTGAGCCCCCTGTCAGACCCTCGGTGTTAATTCTGTAGACATCGGATCCAACGCCCATCAAGCCATCCCCTCTGTGCCCCGGCTGAGTCCCAGGCCCCAACTCACTTCTTGACAGCAAACACGGTCAGCCCCACAGTCAGGTTCTGCTGCTGGAACTGTGCATTGAGGAGCTTGATGTTGAAGGTCCCTTCCCAGATGACGGGCGCCAGCCAGGGGGTGAGGACAAGGACATCACTCCTCCTGTAGGGGGACAGCCACACGGTACCCGGGAGCCGGCAGGAGTCGTCCACGGACAGCGCCCACCCCTCGGGCCCCTCAGCCTCCGGCCCGACCTGCCTCAGGACTGCCCCTGCCAGGGCACTGGGCGAAGGGCAGCCAGACAGGAGTCGTCCGCAGACAGCACCCACCCCTCGGGCCCCTCAGCCCCCGGCCCAGCGTGCCCAGGGCTGCCCCTCCCAGGGCACTGGGCAGGACAGCCAGGCTGACCGGAATTCCAACCCACGGACAATGCCCCCACTCCCCTCTCCACTAGGAGGACCCCCCTCACAGCCCGACACCTCCCCGGGCTGAACAGAGCAGGGGACAAAGGCCACTGCGTGGACGCCTCCCAGAAGCTGGTCACTCACGCTGCACTCAGCGCCTCCGGCTGGGGGTACAGCATCCTAAAAGACACGAACATGAGGGGCATGGGGCTGCGGGCACAGGGAAAACAGGCTCATTGCAGGCCCCCCAGGAACAGGACACAGGGGGACAAAGGACCCCCAGGGAGCCTGAGCCTGGGGGACCCCCAAAGCCTGAGCAGGGCAGAGCACAGAGGTGAGGAAGCCCCCCGGGTGAGGCGAAGCCACAGACCCTGTCCTGCACCCACACTCCCACACTCACCAAGACGCAGCTTCCTCGCCCCCTGGCATGAGGCTTCTCAGGAACCCGAAACTGCAGAAACAGGGCACCAGGCAGGGGTCAGAGGAGGAGCCCAGCCCCCCGGCCCAACCCTGCACAGAGCCCAGCCCCCGGCCCTGTCCCCCTGCCCTGCACAGAGCCCAGCCCCCGGGCCCTGTCCCCCTGCCCCGCACAGAGCCCAGCCCCCGGGCCCTGTCCCCCTGCCCTGCACAGAGCCCAGCCCCTGGCCCAACCCTGCATAGAGCCCAGCCCCCCGGCCCTGTCCCCCTGCCCTGCACAGAGCCCAGCCCCCGGGCCCTGTCCCCCTGCCCTGCACAGAGCCCAGCCCCTCCGGCTCTGTCCCCCTGCACTGTCCCCCTGCACTGCACAGAGCCCAGCCCCCCGGCCCAACCCTGCACAGAGCCCAGCCCCTCAATCCTGTCCCCCTGCCCTGCACAGAGCCCAGCCCCCAACCCCACCCCGCACAGCCAGCCCCCTCACCCTTCCCTACACAGAGCACAGACCCTCAGGGGGGCTCTCAGGTCCCACAAAGCCCCAGGCAGGAAGCTGAGCAGGGGGCAGGACCCTGGGGACAGCAGCAGCCAGGGAGCCCCCTGCTGGGCTTGGTGGCCTGAGGTCACCCCAGGGGGTGCTTCCTGTCTGCACACACACACCCCAGGAGCCCCAGTTGGGTCCTCACTCTGGGGTTCTAGAAGCTTCTGTCTGGAAGCTGCTCACAGCCTGACCCCAATTCCTCTGTGTGCATGGGAGGGGGTGAGTGTACCCCAGGGGAGGTCAAACAGGGAGCAAGGGAGGGGTGAGGTGGACTTGGGCGACAGCTGTCCCGGGCCCTTCACCACGGTGGAGATGCACAGCTCAGGGCGTGCCAGCCCACCCGCTCGCCCGCCGTCCATGGCCGCCCAGCGGGGCCCACGTGTTTCTCACCTGAAGACCAGGAGTAGCAGCGGCAGGGCGACCCGGGGCTGCAGGGGGACCCCTGGCCTTCCGGCACAGCAGCGGGCAGTCTGGGGACCCGCGGAAATCAGACAGGGGCAGCAATAAGCGAGCCCAGGTGGTCGGCCACACGGCGCAGCTGAACATTGAAACAAGGAGAAGGAGCCACGCAGAGCAGAGGCCAGACAACGGAGGGCAGGCGAAGCTGGACAGAACACGCGTCCGGGGGACCACCCACAGCTCTGCACAGGGGAGGGGTCCAACCCCACCCCAGCCCCCAATCAGAGCTCCACAGCCAGCACCTGCGGTCCGCGGGTGGCCAGGCGACCATGAGGGTCACGACGTGGCCACGCTGCTGAGTGTCCACCCGGCACCCACAGATACACCTGCCTTCCCGAGGCTCCCACACACGCTGTCCCCAGGGCCACTGGGGCCAGGGCAAAGGGGGGCCACGGGAACGGGCAGGGGGCAGGGCAAAGGGGGGCCAGGGCAAAGGGGGCCAAAGCAAAGGGGGGCCATGGAACAGGCAGGCGGCAGGGCAAAGCGGGGCCAAGGCAACGGGCAGGGGCCAGGGCACCTTCCGCCTGCGCCGCCCCGTGGCAGGGTGACCCCTGCCTTGCATCTGAGGCCCCCACAGCCCGAACCCCCACGCGGGGAAGCGTGCTGCCCCAGGGCCAGGCCCACGGCAAGCACAGCTGAGCGCTTCCTTCTACCTTTGGGGCGCCTCGGCGGGCCGCCCTGAGGGGAGGACGCGGCCCGGCGACTGCACGGGGGGATCCGCACCCACGGGGTCCTCATGGCCTCTCAGCCCGAGGAGGCGGACAGGGGGCGCCCTGGAGCGCAGGCGGGGCGCGGCCGGAAATGGCACACAGCGCCCGGGCGCGTCCTTCCCGCCTTGGAGCGCGGTCGCAGCGGGGAGGCCCGTTTCCTGGAGCCCCGAGTGGAGGTGTCCCCATCGAGGCCGGGGGAGCCCCGTGTGCGCCCCGGGAGTCCACCTGCGGCGGAGCCGGCTCCCCTGCCTGCTGCGTGCTGCGTGCTGGGCTCCCCTGCCTGCTGCGTGCCGGGCTCCCCTGCCTACTGCGTGCCGGGTTCCTCTGCCTGCTGCGTGCCGGGCTCCCCTGCCTGCTGCGTGCCGGGCTCCCCTGCCTGCTGCGTGCTGCGTGCTGGGCTCCCCTGCCTGCTGGCGTGCTGGGGGCCGGGCTCCCCTGCCTGCTGCGTGCCGGGCTCCCCTGCCTGCTGCGTGCCGGGCTCCCCTGCCTGCTGCGTGCCGGGCTCCCCTGCCTGCTGCGTGCCGGGCTCCCCTGCCTGCTGCGTGCTGGGCTCCCCTGCCTGCTGCGTGCCGGGCTCCCCTGCCTGCTGCGTGCCGGGCTCCCCTGCCTGCACGGTGCCGGGCTCCCCTGCCTGCTGCGTGCTGGGCTCCCCTGCCTGCTGCGTGCTGCGTGCTGGGCTCCCCTGCCTGCTGCGTGCCGGGCTCCCCTGCCTGCTGCGTGCCGGGCTCCCCTGCCTGCTGCGTGCTGCGTGCCGGGCTCCCCTGCCTGCTGCGTGCCGGGCTCCCCTGCCTGCACGGTGCCGGGCTCCCCTGCCTGCACGGAGCCCCGGGACGCACCCCGGCCCCGCTGGTGGGAGCAGCACGGGCGCTGCCGGGGCCCCTGCAGGCTGCCGGGGGTCAGAGGTGAGGCTGGGGTCCCCAGGACTGTCGGAAGAGGCCCTTCCGGGCCCTGTCCTGGTGGCCCCCCGGGGTACCGCACACAGAGGAGTCTGCAGGAAGCCACCCAGGGGTGCACCTGCGGGCGTAGGGCGAGCGGCCCGACTGAGGGCCCCCATTCCACAGCAGCTTCAGGAACAGCCAAATGTTTGTGGTTTTGTTTTTTTAAGATTTCTTTTAATAGTCTTACCCACTTTCCTGTAGCCCTTGAACCTTTTTACCCTAATTAACTAAAGATTGCCAAAAATATAATTTAAAAAATAGGGGGAAATCATCAAAATAAATAAAATTTAAAAAAAAATTTCTTTGAGGGCCTGGCATGTTGTTTCAGAGGCTAAATCCTCACTTTGCATCCCCCCTGGGATCGCATTTGGGCGCCGGTTCATGTCCCGGCGGCCCCACTTCCCACCCAGCTCCCTGCCTGTGGCCTGGGAAAGCAGCCGAGGACGGCCCGTGTCCTTGGGCCCCTGCACCCGTGTGGGAGACCCAGAAGAAGCTCCTGGCTCCTGGCTTCGGATCAGCTCAGCTCTGGTTGTTGCAGCCACTTGGGGAGTGAATCAGTGCATGGAGGATCTTTCTGTTTCTCCTTCTCTCCATAAATCTGATCTGCCTTTCCAATAAAAATAAATAAATCTTTAAAAGGCAGAGCTGGAGATGGAGAGATCTTCTGCCCAGTGGTTCCCTCCCCCAGTGGCCACAACATCACGGCCGGACCAGGCTGAAGCTGGGAGCTCCAACCACGTCCAACCAGTCGGAGACCCTCTCCCTCCGTCCGTGTGTCTCTGTCTGTCCGTCTGTCTCTCTCTCTCACACACAGGAACATCACGCAGCTGCACTTGTTTCGGGAGGAGCCCCCACGGACACTGGGCACGGGGTTGGCCTGGGAGTACTGCTGCTGTGCCCCCAGGACGCTGAGGCTGGTGTGGGGGCGCACGCACAGCTGGGCCATGCCCCCCATGGTGCTGGAGCGGCGTGGGCGTGTGCACGGGAGGTGCCTGGCCCTCTCTCCAGTGTGTGCCCGGGGCTTGCCCAGCAGGCCTGGACACAGGCTGTGGCAGCGGCTGGCAGGGGGCAGGAGGGCCTCTCGCCCTGAGGGCACGGATACACTGCACCCCTGCCTGCCTTGGACACCGCTGGCCTGGGGACTTCAGCAGGGCCTCCGGCCTGCCGACCACCTGCCAGGGGCCGCCCAAGAACGCTTCCCCAGGAACGTGGGGCCGGTGGAGACCGTGTAGGTGCCCACAGAGGAAGGGCCACCCCGGGGCTCCAGCAGGCAGGGCGCTGGGAGGAAGCAGCCTCCAAGGTTGCAGCTGCCGGAAGAGAAGGCACGCTCTCCCTGCCCTGCTGCTCGCCCTCCTGCCCCTGACCTCCCCTCACACCTCTGACCACCCCACCATCTCTCGGACCAAGGTGCCCTGCCCAGAATGTCTCCCGGCCCGCTCATGTGCCTTGGCTGATGGCGCCACCCTCGTGGAGCTGCAACGACCAGACTCTCTCTCTCTGCCCCTCACTGGGACCCACACATCGTCACATGGAAAGCCCTGTCCCTCCGGCTGTGTGACTGCCGACCCAGCCCCGCCCCGTGGGGCACCCACCCCACCCACACGGCAGACCCACGTGGACTCCGTCCAGGATGTTGGCCTTCCCAGCGGCGGCTCACACACTGCACCTACTGCCGCTTTAATTCAACATGGACAGGTGTCCAGCTCCCTGGGGGAGCTGGTTTAGGGGGCCGCGGACACCTCAGGGAGTGGTCTGATCTGGCAGCGCCTGCTGAGAGCGCAGGCCCTCGTCACAGCACCAGTAGTGACCATCAGCCTGCGTGAACTGGAGGCCTCCCAGGTGGACGGTGCCGGTGCTTGGCAGCAAGGGACTTCGTGGGCAGAGAGCCCCGTTGTCCCCAGGGTTCTTGGAGCACCGTGTCCTGGACAACTCGGGCACGTGGAGATCCACCTGAGACAGGTGTGTGACCAGCATGTGGTCGGTGGTACTGGCGTCCGCAGTTGGGCCAGGGGATGCCAAATTCTGGGTGTCTGAGATCCAGCCCTGCGGGAGTGAAGGCGAGAGAAGAGGGGTTGAGTGGGGCCAGAGCCAGGAGCGCATCCAGCTGTGTGCCAGGCCTGAGCCGCACGGCTGCTTTCCCAGGTGTGCAAGCAGGACCCGGATGGGAAGCTGAGAGGGGCCCCAAAAGGCCTTCCCATAGGGGATGCCTGCGACCCGAAGGATCCACAGTGCCGGCCAGCCCCTACCGGTCCCCGCCTGTGCACTGCCCATTTAGCTAGCAGGACCCAGGCCTGCAGGCATTGACTTAGGACATCAGTGAGTGCATACGTCACACAGAGCAGGACGCTAAGCAGCTGGCTGCACAGTGCAGGACCCCAGCTTACCTGGAAATCTCCTTGGTGGATCTCAAAGAGGCCCGGGAAGCTGGATTTGGGGTC